ACACGTGTGGCCACGGTCCCACCCACTGCCGGCATTAACACACCTTCTGCCGGTACCAGCACGCAGCTGCCTAGGGTCAGGGCGGACAAGAGGGTCAGCAAAGAGCCCCCGGCTGAAGTTCTGGGGTTGGCACCTGGGCAGCCATCCTGCGGCACAGCGCAGGCTGGAGGGATTTGCACGGTTCTCCCACAGGGCTGGGAGTTTCGCCAGGAAAAGCAAGTTTATAAATAGTGTGTTTCAACACGAACGGAGGAAAGCGGCAGAACTCGATGGTGAGATGAGCCAGGGGCTGTGCGCCGGCCCCTCCCCAGCATCCTCCCCCTCTAGGATGGATGTTCCTTCCCTCCACTGCCCGGCTGGCCGGGACCAGCCCCACTCTGGAGCCTGGATCTGGAAGTGTGTGTCAGATGTGCCGTTTGGGAACACCACTGTCGCAGCTGGTCCGGCAGCCAGAGCAAGGCAGCGGAGATGGCTTCAAAAAGACCAGAAACAGGGGTGATGGCTGCTGGGGGCAAGGGCAAACACATCAAGGCACTCTGCAGGATGGAGGCCAGGGGGCTGACAGAGCCCACCACATCTGGCTGCCCACCCAGGACCAAGGCCCACAAATTCCAATGTGTTGCTTGAATCCAAGTTTCCATAAGCTCATGGGCCAGAAAGTTTGTAGTTTCTCCTGCCAGCCCTGCAGAAGACAGATCCCCCATGGGCGAGGCTGCACTTGAAACAGAAGTTTGATGGCACAATGCATTACACCAAAGGGGCACATACCTGCCAGATCCTAACAACAAGCAAGACACCCAAGGGGAAAACCAGCTTTTATCTCTGCGTTAAGGAGAAGAGCAGCACGCTGTCAGATGAGAACTCGCTTCTCGTAAACACAAAACAGCAGCAAAGACACCCCTGCGCCTACAGAGCGAGCGGCAGGACATGCCTGCTGGGGAGCTACCTGCCAGATTGCAAAAGGAGGAGATCTTGATGGCGATGCCCAAGGGAAGACGCTGCCAGAGCAGCCTCATCAGCTGTCAGCAGGAGAAGCTTCTGACAGCCCACCGAACACGTGCGGCACTCGTCGTGCCACGCTTGCTTACCTTGATGTAGGTGTCAAGGGCCGGGTGGACACGGTTGACTGCTAGATGGATGGAGAGCGGCGTGGTGAATGGAAAGGTCGCCATAACCACGTGGCTGGGAGCGGGGAAAGAGAAGATCTTGAAGCCATACTTCTGGAACCGCTTAATCTGCTCTTCTGACGGCTTTGCGTCTCCCTCGCTCAGGATTCGGCCTATGGCAAAGCGGCACTTCTCCGGAGACACCTGGTCGAGGGGGACAGAGAGCTGGCATCAGAAGAGAGAGGCTGAAGACTGACCAAAACCTGCACCTGCTGAGCATGGAGGCAGGAGACCGACATGAAGCAGGGTGGATGCAGTGGCACAGCACAAGCGGGTCGCCCAAACCAGGTGCCCACTCCTAACCAAGGCCGATCCATGCCCAACCTGGCCATGCTCCTCCCACCCCATGGAGAAGGTACTGCTCCCCTCCTTGGAGGGCAGAGGGACTGGCAGCAGAGAACTAAACCCCACGGTGCTGCTCACCCAAACCTGCCTCGGGTGACAGCCACTGAAGAAAGCGTCTCTCCTGATCACTGAAGAAAGTGTCTCTCCTGACCCCCCATTCCAGACCTGACCGTCGAGACATGCTCACCGCTGTCCCCATCTGTGGGATACCCCTGCGACTCCGGGGGGGCAGGCACAACCTGCCTGGCTTGTCTCCAACCCACCCCCAAGGAGGTCGCCCTGCACGAGCCACTGGCACTAAGCCAGAGGGAAACCCAGAGGCTGCTGGGTCGCTCCTAGGTGGGCACAGTCTCAGGGGTGGGGAAACTGAGGCACACAAGGCTTGTATGCAGTCACTGAGCTGTTTGTAGTAACACAGAGTAACACATCCCTTTCCATCCTGTATCCCAACAACACACAAAACATAAACCACGCTCTCTTTCCCAATTTGGGGATGCCTCCCATGAAGACAGGAGGCTGCAGGGCTCCCAGCCCAACAAGGGGGCTGCTCAAGGCTCTGCTCCCAGCAGTGACAGCCACGGGACACCTGCCATCTTCACACCAAAGCTGACCCAGGCTGAGGCTTTCATTTCTGGTGTTTATCAAAACCCACCACTCAAGTCACCATTTACCCGTGGCACTTGGCAGTAACATGCCAAGGGGCAGAAGAGCCTGGCAACTCTCCCCCAAGGTACCACCAGAGGACAGGATGCACCTTCATGCTGCTGGGGAGCCCTCCTCTGCCCCCAGCCTTTGTCCCCGGCAGAGCTGCCACCCTTTCTGCCCCCCGAGAGATGCTGGGGAGCTGGCAGGCAGAGATAAGGCTCCTTCCCACAGGGTGCGGCGGCCTAAGAAAGGACCCCAGGGAAGTAAGGGGGTGTAGGGGGTACCCAAGGAAGGAGACATCATCTGTGTGTTTATGCTCCTGCTACCTGCTCTCCAGGCTGCTGAACAGCGAGGGGATGTGGCAGCCAGCTGCGCGAGCCTGGCCACCCCGCTCTGTCAAGGGCTGGAGACCCAAAGTCTTCCCAACTCCCACCACACAAGGGGCCAAAACTCACCAGGACCTGCCAGCACGCCCGGCAGCAGGACAGACAGATGTTGACATCACGAAGCAGAGCGTGCATGTGAGGCCAGCATGTTCCCACTCGCCCACCTCCCACCCCACGCGCCCCCCCCAAGGGGACATCTGCTCTGCGCTCCCCACTCTCATCCCGAACTTTGCCTGTGCTAGAGCTCAGCAACGTGCCGGGAGGGTGAGCACAAGGAAGGGCTGTCAGAAGCAGCAGCAGCCATCGGCGGGCCTGGCAGCTCGCTCTTGCCCTCCTGTGCTGCAAGAGGGAGCTGCAGACGGGGCTGCGCCGAGCAGCGCTGCTCTGGGGCGCGGGAGACGCGCATCCACCCCAAAGACAGCAGCAAAAGGCCTCCATGGGGAAAGGCCCGGGCAAAGCAAGGAAATAAGGGAAATCCAGATAAAATTCCTTTAAACACGAAATTTCCATTTATGTCCTAAGCAAAGGCAGTTCTCTCCCAGCCTCAGAACAACCAGCCAAGGACCTGAGCTGCCGGAGCGGGCAGCACCCCTCGAGACCAGGCGCGTTGCCTTCCTCCCTTCTCCTTTTAACGTTCTTTTCCGAAGCACGCAGCCCCACGGGTGCTTTCTCTAGGGCAGCAGCAAGGCAGATTTGCCTCCTCCCCCGCCTGACCAAGCTCGTCTCGAGGGACGGAAGGGAACACTCCAGTTAAAACCAACCTCTCCCTAACTAACTCATCTTTTGGAGGTAAGCAGGTGCTGTCCAAAGCCTCCGCTCTCCCAAGTGCCTCGACAGAGGAGTTTTGGAAATGACCACTTAACCTATTCATCTGCAGCTTTGCCTATGGAGGCAAAACCCACTGGTGCATTCAGAAAGCGTTTTGGCCTCATCCATCTGACGCTTGGGCACAGGCTGGAGCCGAGCACGCGACCACGCAGACTGCGGGCAAAGGGCCCTAGCACATG